AATTGGAGTCTCACTGTCACCCAGGCTGGAGTGCAGTGGCACACTCACAAGCACTGAACCCTTGATCCTTCACCTCAGCCTTCCAAACAGCTGAGGCCACAGGCACGCCACCATGCCCGGCTAATTTTTTAAATTTATTTTGGAGATGAGGTCTTGCCAAGTTCCCCAGACTGGTCTCAAACCCCTGGGCTCAGGCAGTCCTCTCATTTCCGCCTCCCAAAGTGCTAGGATTACAGGCATGAGCCACTGCTCCAGAAGCCCACAAGAGAAGCAAAGGGACTGAGAAGCCCTTACCTTTCCGGCAGAACACAGGACTGTGATACAACATAAGTCCTGAGATAATGGCCAGTCCCAGCAGAAGGAGACTCACAATGGTCCCCACAATTCCCCCGATGTTTAAAGGTTCTGTAAAGACAAATCACACCATTGGATCTTCCAACTGCTATGTGGACATCTAGAAGAGCAGTACCTCCCCTCTTCTGCCTGGATCTCGTTCTTGTTTTATACTGGTTTTATGACCTTGGGCAAAGCTTATGCTACGTCTATAATGCAAGATAAATAACTCATCTCATAACCTCAAGACAGAGAGTTTGTGGGGATCTAGCGAAGCACATAATATAACAAAACAATGAAAAGTTAAAGTCTTTGTGTCTACCAAACATCAAGACTGCTTATAAGACCATGGTGAGTAATGGGAGCTATCAGGGCTGTGATAAACAAAGCAATCGGTGAAATGAAATAGAGAGTCTAGGAACAGACCCACAGAGAAAAAGAAACTTGAAGCTGCACATGGTGGCTCACATCTGTAATCTCAGCACTTTGGGTAGCTGAGGAGGGTGAATTGCTTGAGCCCAGAAGCTTGAGACTAGCCTGGACAACACAGTGAGACTTCATCTCTACAAAATATAAAAAAATTAGCTGGGTGTGGTGGGTGGCACATGCCTATAGTCCGAGCTACTAGGGAAAGTAAGGTGGAAGAATCACCTGAGCACCAGAGGTTGAGGCAACAGTGAGCCATGATTGTGCTGCTACAGTGAGAACCTGACACGAAAGACAAAAAGATGAAAGAAGGAAGGAAAGAAAGGAAGGAAGGAAGGGAGAGAGGGAGGGAGGGAACTGGAACAAATGGTGATTCAAATTGGGGGTACCAAAAAGGAAGAAACTTGATCCCTACCTCACACCATTTACAAAAATCAATTCTAGATGAAGTAGAGATTTAACTTGAAAGGCAAAATGTTAAAACTTTTAGAAGAAAATATAGGAGAATATCTTAGTAACCCTGGGATAAGGATTTCTTAAGACACAAAAACTGCGAATGATCTAAGATAAGTTTCATAAGATCAATTATATTAAAGTAAGAACATTTGTTAATCAAAGGATGTCATAAAGAAAATGGAAAAGACAACAAACTGAAAGATATTTATAATATATAAAACTAACAAGAAATTAGTACAAGGAATTTCTAAAGAACTCCTACATATCTATAAACAAGGAGAAAATGTCAAAAAACACCAATATATATTTCAGAGAAGGAACACAACTAGCAAATAAACATGCAATATGCTCAAAACCTTCTTGGCAATCAGGGAAGTTCAAATTAGAACCTCAGTGAGAGTCTATTTTATACCTTCTAGATAGGCAAAAATCACAAAACCTACTGGTAAAACTGTGGAACAGCTCAATGCTCTTATATACTGGAAGTGGGAATGGAAACTGAGACAACCACTTTGGAAAATAATTTGGTATTATCTTATAAAGATAAAAATGGATATGCCCTATAGCCCTTCATTTCTGCTCCTTGCACCTATCCTAGAGAAATATTTGAGTACCTGGTGTACATGTATACAAGGAACTGGATGAAAGATGTCCATAGCAACACTGTTTGTCATAAGAAAAAAAAAATCAGAAACAGCATAAACATTCATCAGCAGGAAAATGACAGACTCAGTTGTGGAACAGTGATAATGGATATTATGCAGTGATGAAGACACATGAAATACAGTTACACCCACTAGCATGAATAAATTCTGAAGTGAAAAAAGCAAGTCACAAAAGACTACATATATATGGTAACAGTCACTTTTCTAGCCTTTTTGTTTTTAGAGTAGTTTTAGGCAGCAAAATTGAGCAGAAAAGAGTTCCCATACACCTCCCTTCACCACCATCCTCCCTCCGCACACACACACAGTCTATGACATGTATCCATCATTATAATATCATACAGAGTATTTTCACTGCCCTAAGAATCCTCCATGCTCCGCCTGTTTAATCCTTTCTTCCCTCAAACCCCTGGCAGCTACTGATCTTTTTACTATCTCCATTGTCTTGCCTTTTCCAGAATGCCATGTAGTTGGAATCATACATTTGGTAGCCGCAGCAATATTCTAAAGCTTAAAAACTAATAGATATTATTTAGAAACATGTACATATATAGTAAAGATATATTTTAATAAAACAGGAAATTCAGAATAGCAGTTACTTTCTGAGGGAGGCCCAGGATGAGACTGGGAAGGGGTCTACAGGGACTGATACAATCCAGTATGCCCAATGAAATTGGGATTTCAGAAAAATAATGAATAATTTGTTAGTATAAGTATGTGCCATGCAGTATTTGGGATATACTTATACTAAAAAAATATTATTTTTTATTTTCCTGAAATTTAAGTGGGCTTCTGGTTTTTTTTTTTTTTTTATTGTTGTTGTTTTCTAAACCTGGCCCTGTGATTCATAAGTCATTTCATCCATGTTGGCACTATTCTGTGTCTTAGGTGGGATGATAGTTTCTTGGGTGTTCATTTTTCTATTATGCTTCACCACTGACAGATACTACAAAAGTATTCTTTGTTGTGTAATAAATATATATATAATTTTTTGCTTCCTATGCAAATATTAGAGACTGTAGGGTTGGATAACTTTTCCCAGCCACCTTGTCAAGCCACAGACAAGCAGATATGCCTTCTCCCAGTTACGGAGTGACACGTGTAGGGAGGCACTGGGCTGTCTCTGAAGCTCTCGATCCCCCTCCTGCAAACACATTTCCATCACTCACCTTTCACGCTCAGCCAGATGTCTACCTCCCTCACCCCCACGAGGTTCTCAGCCCGGCAGACATAGTAGCCTTCATCCAGGTCCTGGGAGCAGTTGTGGATGGTGAGGGTGGAGTTCTGGCCATTCTGGGTAATAAGATAGTGGCTGTCGGATTGGATGACCACCTCGGGCTGGGTGAGGTTCCTCAGCCAGAGAATCTTGGCAGCAGGGTAGGCTCCAGACACTTGGCAGGCGAATGTCACGTTGCCTCCCACGAAGCAAGTCTTCATGGGATCAGAGAGAAGGGAGGGGATCCCTGGTGATCAGAAGGTAAGGAAAGGCAATTTTTTCTTTCTTTTTTTTAATCTATAGAGACGAGGTCTCACTATGTTGCTCAGGCTGGTTTCAAACTCCTGGGCTCAAAAAATTCTCCCACCTCGGCCTCCCAAAGTGCTGAGATAACAGCCATCCGCTCCTGGCCAAGACAAATGTTTAAGGAGATTCAAGCCACAGCTTGACAACTTCAAGAATACTACAGTAGTCTCCCCTCATACACAATTTCACTTTCTTAGGTTTTAGTTACTAGGGTCCACGATGATCCGAAATATTACACAGAAAATTCCAGAAATAAGCAACTCCTAAGTTTTAACCCGCGTGCTGTTCTGTGTAGCAATTAAAACTCGCACCATCCCTTCCCATCGCAATAAGGACAAGTAGAGTACAGTAAGATATTTTGAGAGAGGGAAAGGAGACCACAGTCACATAACTCTTATGACAGCATATTGTTATATTTGCTCTATTTTATTATCAGTTGTTGTTAATCTCTTACTGTGCCTAATTTAGAAATCAAACCTTATCGCAGTATGTATGCATCTGAATAACACAGTATATATAGGGTTCAGTATTTTCTGTGGTTTCGGACATCCACTGGGGTCTTGGGACAGAACCCCCACAGATAAAAGGGGACTTCTATATAGTCTTTCTTACAAAGCAACGCCAGGCATTTATGCATCACACTTGATCTTACTAACTTGTAAACAAGTAAGGAGATTTATGCAATAAATCTAACATTTGCTAATCATTCACTGTGGACAAGACGCTGTTACACATATTAACCCAAATCATTCTTACAACAACCCTGTTATTATTCCATTTTGCAGATAAGGAAACTGAGGCACAGAGAAAGTTAAATAACTTGCTCAAAGTCACACAATTAAGCAGTATACCTAGGATTTAGAGGGATCAAGTGTTTCAGTTTACCCAGGACTGAGGGGGTTCTCAGGACATAAGACTTAGTCCTAAATCCAGGAAAGTTCTAGGCTAAAGGATAAACTGGCTACTCCGTATAAGACTGAAATCTAAGCAGTTGAGCTTTTTGTAGTCCACCTTCTTTTTTTTTTTTTTAATTCCCCTCCCCATACCTGCTTTACTTCTATGTATAATAACTACGCTGATCATGTAAAAATATAGGCACACAGTCTAACAGGGATATTCAAGGGGACAACAGGGCAGCCATATTGCTGATGTAACAAGTTGCTAACAAACTTAATGTCTTAAAATGAACAAATGTACTCTCTTACAATTCTGGAGGCCAAGGTCTGAAATGATTTTACAAGGCTAAAATCAATCTGTTGGCAGAGCTGGATCCTCCTGGACACCCTGGAGTGTGATCAATTCCTTTGCTTTTTCAGGTTCTAGTCTCTGCCTGCATGCCTTGGCTTGTGGCCCCTTCCTTCGCATCACTCCAATCTCTTGCTTCTATGATCATATCTCCTACTACTGACTCCAATTTTCTGCTTCCTTCTTACATATGGACCCTTGTGATTATACGGGGCCTGCCCAGATAACCCAAGAAATCTTCCCATTGCAAAAGCCTTAACTTAATCACATCAGCAAAGTCCCTTTCGCCAGGTAACCACATTCACTGTTGTGGGGATTAGGATGTGGACATGTTTTTGTTGGGGAGAGCCATTCCTCTACCACAGGTCTGTCCTAGAAAACTTATAACATGACATCTGATAGCCTTGGGTTTTGCTTTGAGTAAAACACAAGGAGCCATAAGGGTTACCACAGTGATCCATGTGTTTTCTTTGTACAAGAAGCCTTTTCTCAAAACACACACCCTCCTGGTAGAAGTAGCAAATTCATCTTGTGGAATGTATTGTCTGTCCATTCAGCATGTAAGGGACAGAGAGTAGGGTCTGCCTGGGAGAGTGAAACCACACTATCCTTTGGCAGTTGTTCCCAAGGAACGTCCAGGGTTTCCCAGCTCACATCCTGGGCAAAGGGAAGAGGGAAGGAAGGAGGAAAGGGCTGATAGGGGTGGAATGGCCTAAAGGCCTCATGTTCTATTTCAAGTCAACAAAACCTAAGTTTGCTTGGGAAACACACAGGAGGTGCCCTTCCTAAACCAACTGTCAGTTTCCCTCCACCTGGCTAAACTGTACTTTCCCCTCTCTGTTGTTTACTCACATTTCCTTTGGGGTCGCAAAGCCAGCAGCTATGACAAGCATCATCAGTATGTTTCTATTTTGGGACACCCCCCAAACCAAAGATTTAGAAACGGCCCCCTCATCCTTTATTAGAAGCAAAACAAATAATCCCCATGGTGACCCCTCCCTCTCCCTCCAACAAAGGTCACCTTCAGGGATCTACTTTGCGAAGCAGAGCATTCACCCCTCAAAAGGCTGAGTCACCCACATTCAGCCAGTGTGGCACCTATATGTTCAATAAGTTCAGTTCTAGATGACGCTGTGTGCAGGGTAGGGTGAGGGGCTGGGGAACTGTTGGGAGCCTCCAAGATCTGTAAGAGATGGAGAGCATCCTGGGGCCTTCACATACTGGGCAGCCTGATGCAGCAGCTTATCATGTGTTGAGTTAGGGAACTACGAGCTATTTAAAGAGATCTGGGTGGCTGGAACCGCCAAAAGCATCACTTTCCATCCTCTTGGGGGGCTATGCAGTTTTCTGCATTCTCTGAGGTGGACAGTAACATTATCTTTCATCAATTTACTAGTCCTGTCACGTGAAATAATCCAGAGACCCTTTTCCCGCTGCAAGGGTCTTGTTACTCCAAGTATGAGCCAGGGACAAGCAGCATCAGCACCTCCTGGAAACCCCCCAAAATTCACATTCCCAGAACCTCCTCCAAATGTGACCTTATTTGGAAATAGGGTCTTTGAAGATGTAATTGGTTAAAGATTTCAAGATGAAGTCATCCTAGATTCAAGGTGGGCCCTAAAACCAATGAGAAGGATGAGAAGGAGCCAGCCAGGTCAAGATCTGTGATCTGAGTGTTCTTGGCAGAGGGAACAGCAAATACTAAATACTAAACAAGCCTGGCAATTTCAGGAACCAAGAGAAGACCAGGGTGACTGGAGCGTCGTGTGTCAGGTACTAATGAGGCCAGTTGGATGTTGTGATATATCCATATAAGAGCTTAAAATATTACTGTCTCTGCCGCCCTAGACAAAATAACCCTCTTCTTACAGAGACCTCCCTGCCACCCTAGGAAAAGTAGCCCTCTTCTTACAGAAGACTGTCCTTTACACCTACAATTTTATCCTCGTAATAATTATTATTACTATCTGGACCTATCTTGCTTTAGTGGCTCGTTTCTAGTAAACACAATGTAGCAGAAGAGATAGATGCCATGTAACTCCAGGCTAGGTCATAAGCAGGATAGCTTGCACCTTGCTCACTGAAACTTGGATCACTTGCTCTGGGAGGAAGCCAGCCATGCCAGAGTCCCACCTGGAGAAAGAGCAGCTCGCCAGCAAGTGCTGAATCTTTCAGATGATTGCAGACCCCAACCTTCCAGTCGTCCAACTAAGATGCCAGATATCTTGCCTGAATTCCTGGCCCACAGAAATCATGAGATGATAAGTGGTTCATGTTGTTTTAAGCCACTATTTGGGTGGGTAATTTGTTACATAACAAGATGCTACAGTGCGGGTGTTTGTCTCCTCCAAATTGCATGTTGAAATTTTATCATCAATGTTGGAGGTGGAGCCCAGTGCAGGGGTCGGGGGGGTGCTTGAGTCAGGGCACAGACCCCTCATGAAGAAATTAATGATTTCTGGGGCAGTGTGGGGGCTTAGTTCTCACTCTATTAGTTCCCACAAGTGTTGGTTGTTAAAAAGAGCCTGGCACCTCCCCTCTTTCTCCCTTTCCTCCTCTCTCTCCACGCCATCTCTTCACATGCCAGCTTCTCATCACCTTCCACCATGAGTGGAAGCAGCCAGAGGCCTCCCCAGAAGCCAGGCAGATACTGGTGCCTTGCCTCTTGTACAGCCTTCTGCAGAACTGTGAGCCACACAGACCTCTTTTATTTCTAAATTACCCAGCCTCAGGTACTCCTTTATAGCAACCGTAACAGACTAAGACACAAGAGCTCACTAATGCATGAACCTCATCTGTCTTGTTCCCTGCTCTATCCTCAGCACGTAGAAACAGTACCTGGCACACAGCAGGTGCTAGATTAGTATTTGTCAAGTGAAAAACAGCTTGGGCTAGAACCAAGAGGGTGGCTAAGCATCTTTGAAGTCTGAAAGAGCCACACAGTGGTTTCATGCCTATAATCCCAGCACTTTGGGAGGCCAAGGCGAGAGGGCTGCTTGAGGCCGGGAATTTGAGGCCAAACTGAGCAACATAGTGAGAGCTTGTCTATATTTTAAAAATTAAAATTAAAAAAAAAGTTTGAAAGGAATGCAACATAAAGCAAAAGAAAGGAGAAAAGGGAAGAAATTCAGTTCATTCTGACAGCCTGGGATTTCTTTCCCAGAACTACTTTCAAATGCTTCTCCAGGAGAAAGGAAGGCAGGGGAACCCCAGGACAGGGACTCACTGATCTGCACCATGCAGCTGGCTCCCAACTCTGGCCCCACTATGTGGCTCCCGACACACTTGAACTTCTTGCCATCCGACAGCTGGGACTGGTTCAGCATTTCCACCCCCAGCTTTGACTTCCCCACGATCACACCTCCTGGCTCTTCTGTCCACATGAAGTCAGGGTCAGGGTATCCCCCATCCCAGCGACACGTGAGCTGCAGCATGAACGATCCTGATGACGCCTCTGCGTAGCACCGAGGAGTTGATGGAGGGGGGTCTGCAAAGCACCAAAGGACAACAGGGACTGAGTCACGGTCTCCAAGATCAGCCACCAGGATGGCTCAAAGGATGGCAGAACCAGGGTCTCAGAGAAACACTAGCTCCGGTGAGTGTACCTTGAGATCACTCCTAGCGCACTGACAACATCATTCATGCCTGACAACAGTCAGGTTTCCTCTGCTGGGTGTTAAATCTCCGAGGACCTGGGTCTTATTCATCTTTGTGTTTCTCACTAGCCACGTGTGGCTACTGAAATTTAGAGTAATTACATTACATGAAATTACAGATTCAGTTCCCCCATCATTCCATCTACATTTAAGTGCTTAGTAACCACGTGAAAAGTGCCTGCTGCTTAGACTACACAGAGCAGAACATTCTTTTTTTTTTTTGAGTTGGACTCTCACTTCATTGCCCAGGCTGGAGTGCAGTGGCACGCTCACGATCACCCCAGTGTCAGCCTGCTGGGCTCCGGCCATCCTTTTGCCTCAGCCTTCCAAGTAGCCAGAACTTCAGGTGCGTGCCACCACACCTGGCAAATTTTTTTTTGTTTGTTTGTTTTTTGTTGGAATCTTACTCTGTCGCCCAGACTGGAGCCCACAGCCTCAACCTGCTGGGCTCCGGTAATCCTTCCGCCTCAGCCTTCCGAGTAGCTGGAATTACAGGCGCGCGCTACCACACCCAGCTAATTTTTTTATTTATTGTAGAGATGAGGTCTCGCCTGCCCAAGTGGGTCTCGAACCCGCGGGCTCAGGCAATCCACTCACCTCAGCCTCCCAAAGGTGCGGGATTACAGGCTGAGCCACCGAGCCCGGCTTAATTTTTTTTTTTTGAGTTGGAGTCTCACTGTCACCCAGGCTGGAGTACAGTGGCACCCTCACGGCCACCCCAGTGTTGACCTGCTGGGCTCTGGCAATCCTTCCATCTCTGCCTTCCAAGCAGCTGGAACTACAGGCACACTACCATGCCCAGTTAATTTTTTATTAAGTGTAAAGATGCGGTCTCGCCAAGCTGCCTGGGCAAGTCCCGAACCTGTGGGCTCAGGCAATCCGCTCATCTCAGCCTCCCAAAGCTGGGATTACAGGCTGAGCCACCGAGCCCAGCAGAGCAGAACATTCCTATCATCACAGAAAGTTCCACTGGGCAGTGCTGGCCTCTAGAAACTAACAGTGTCTGCCTCGGGGTGTGTCGAGGACTGGATGTTACGGGCAGACAAAGACTTCATAAACACCACAGCCCGGACATGTGTTTCTTTATACTTGTGTTTATGTACCAGGTACATATGCTACTAAACACACAGACACAAACCCACAACTTCAGTAGATTACTAACTTGTAAATCCAATATAATCCATATGCATTAATACCTATATTTTCATATATCTTATGTATCTATTGTCATCCATTTTATGTAATATATAGAAAATCTAGAAATAAATTTGGATCTGATAGGGATGAGTGGATATGTAACATCTGTGAGAAAAATGACTGGAAATATTTCATAATAATGGTTATAACAAGTACTGTTCTTTATGCGCATGCATTTCCTACAACAAGCATGTAAGACTTTACATTCAATAACTGTCATTTGTGATTGAGAATATAGGGCCTTATAAAGGCTCTGATTATCACAGGAATTACGTAAAGTGTCATTATCCTGCCTGCTAACTTGTTGTTTTGATGCTTCCCTTCATGAGTATGGATTGTGAGTACACTCTGCATTTCTACAGGGGTTTCCATTCAAGATTTTTGCATATAGGAGTGTCTGGCTGGTGTTTCTCCATCCCCAAAATGAAGACTTAAGGACTGCTGCTGGTTCAAAACATGCCAGAGGGCCGGCTGACTGTGATGGCCACACTCAATTCACAAAAAGAATATATAGGCTAGGAGCAGTGGCTCAGCCTGTAATCCCAGCACTTTGGGAGGCAGAGGCAACAGGATTGCCTGAGCTCAGGGGTTCAAGACCAGCCTGGGCAATTTGGGGAGACCGCATCTCTACAATAAATACACACACAAAAGAATTAGCTGGGCATGATAGCACATGCCTGTAGTTCCAGCTATTTGGAAGGCTGAGATGGAAAGATCACCTGAGCCCAGCAGGTCGAGGCTGCAGTGGCTGTGAGAGTGCCACTACACTCCAGCCTGGGCAACAGAGTAAGACTCCAACTCAAAAAAAAAAGGAAGATGGATACACACATACACTCACACACACACACACATACACATACACATAGATAATATATTAATATATATTATGTATATATATTTTTCTTTATGACTTAGGGTCTTACTCTGCCACCCAGGCTGCTGGAGTACAGTGGCACAATAATAGGTCACCTCAGCCTTGACCTCTTGGGCTCAGGCCATTCTTCTCATTTAGCTTCCTGAGTAGCTGAGACTACAGGTACACACTACCATGCCTGGCTTTTTTTTTTTTTTTTTTTTGTAGAGACAAGGTCTCGCTATGTTGCGTAGGCTGGTCTCAGACTCCTGGCTCCAAGCAATCCTCTCATCTTGGTTTCCCAAAGTGCTGGGATTATAGGTGTGTGCCACTGCACCCAACCTGGATAAATGGATAAATAAACAATGGTAGATCCACATAACAAACTGCTATTCAGCAATAAAAAGGAATGCAGTACTGACACATGCTACGACATGGATAAGCCTCAAAAACCTGAAGCTAAGTGTAAGAAGCTGGACACAAAAGGCCATTTATTGTATGTCCATTCATAGGAAGTATCCAGAACAGGCAAATCCATAGAGACGAATACAGATAGGTAGTTGCCAGGGGCTGGGGGGAAGAGGGAATGGGGTAACTGCTTAGTGGATACAGGGTTTCCGTTAGGAAGGATGAAAATGTTTTGAAACTAGATAGAGGTGATGATTGCACAACACTATGAATGTACTAAATGCCACTGAATGGTGTAATTATTATTATTTTTTGAGTCAGAGTCGCACCACCATGCTCAGCTAATTTTTTGATTTATTGTAGAGACGAGGTCTCACCATGTTGCCCAGACTGGTCTCAAACCCATGGGCTCAGGCAATTCTCTCGTTTTGACCTCCCAAAGTGCTGGGATTACAGGCATGAGCCATCGTGCCCAGCTAATTGTGCAATTTTTTATTTTTATTTTTTAATTTTTAATTTTTTTTTGAAACAGAGTTTTACTCTGTTGCCCATGCTGAAAAGCAGTGACATGATCCTGTAGCCTTGACCTCCTGGACTCAAGTGATCCTCCTGCCTCAGCCTCCCAAGTAGCTGGGACTATAGGCATATACCATCATACCTGGCTAATTTTTCTTTTTCTTTTTTTTTTTAATAGAGACAGGGTCTTGCTATGTTGCCCAGGTTGATCTCAAACTCCTGGGCTCAAGCAATCCTCCCTCTTTGGCCTCCATAGTGCCAGGATTACAGGCATTGGCCCCTGCACCTAGCCTGCATTTTTACATTGTTAGGATTATGTACTTACACCTCATTTTTTAAAAAAAGAGTGCATGAGGCTTTGCATGAGTTTCCCTCTGTGGTTGGCAGGGACTCTCCTGAACCCCTGGTTAGCAGTAAGCTTCTAGAAGGGGTGACTCCCTCCCTGACAGGCAGCAGGCCCCGGGTGTGTACATGTATATTGAGGGAGCCATAGAAGCATGCTTGGACCCATACAGTGAGGATGTCCTTAAAGACAAAAGAAAGAGAGATACACACATGCAGTTCATAAAGGGTTAAGGTGAAGAAGTTGGGGAGGGGGAGCACTTCTTACGCACAGTAGACCAGGAGCTCGGTGGTCACCTTTGCCTGTCTCCCGTTGAGCTCATTCACAGCCAAACAGGTGTAGTTCCCTTGGAGGTTTGGTGACATCAGTAACAGCTTGAAAGAGCTGAGCACTGAGTTGTTCCTAAAGATCTCGCGGCTGGAATTCAGGGCCTGGAACCACCACTCAACCATGGGCGGAGGCCAGGAGCTGCTATTGCAGCTAAAGTCCACCTGGGAACCCTTGGCTGCGTAGACAGTGCCATTGGGGAGCGTGCCGGTGGCCGAGATGTTGACCTCAATTTGATAGGGGCCACCTGGGAATGACAGGGAGAATGGGGAGGGAATTAATTATGTAAGAGTTCATTTTAGCTCCTTACCAACTCTAACAGACACATACAGGATCAGGAAGCAGCCAATAAGGAGGTTAATAGTAGCTGTCAAATACTTACCATGTGACAAATAAATGCTGTGCTCAGTTCCCTGATAATGTCTTTCATTGAATCCTGGGCAATTATGTGACATCTACTAGGGGGATAAATTCTTTCTTTCTTTCTTTCTTTTTTTAATTTTTTTTTTTTTAGTCAGAGTCTCACTGTCGCCCAGGCAGGAGTGCAGTGACACACTCACAGCCACTGCAACCTCCACCTGCTGGGTTCAGGCTATCCTTCTGCCTCAGCCTTCCAAGGAGCTGGAATCACAGGTGCATGCCACCACGCCCAGCTAATTTTTTATTTATTGGAGAGATGAGGTCTCACCAAGGTAGACAAGGTCTCACCAAGGTGCCCAGGTTGGTCTTGAACCCCTGAGCTCAAGCAATCATCTCACCTCAGCCTCCTCCCAAAGTGCTGGGATTACAGGAGTGAGCCACCATGTGCCTGACCAAAGGAATCAATTCTTACAGAAAGAGGGAAAGGGTAAATTGTTCCTTTTTAAAAGCACTGCAGAGTGGAAAGGACATCTGTGCAGAAAAGAATTAACAGAGCAGTACTGGATGCCGTGGCTCATGCCTGGAATCCCAGCACTTTGGGAGGCGGAGGCAAGAGGACTGACTGAGCCCACGGGTTCGAGACCAGCCTGGATAACTTGACAAGACTTCATCTTTACAATAAATCATAAAAACTAGCTGGGTGTGGTGGTGTGTGGCTGTGGTTTCAGCTACTTGGAAGGCTGAGATGGAAGGATTGCCTGAGCCCAGAAGGTTGAAGATGCGGTGGCTGTGTGTGTGCCACTGCACTCCAGTCTGGGCAACAGAGTGAGACTCCGACTCAAAAAAAAAAAAAAAAAAAGAATTAACAGAGCAGACCTGAGGCTGCACTCCCTAGGAAGACCGGCTTGCAAGGTTGGCCCTTGGCTGACTTCCGGGAACCTGGATTTTGGGAGTGTTTCTACCATTCCCAGAACTGACAAGAGTGGCTCACTGTGTCCAAACTGTTAGTATAGGCAATGGAGTTTATGTTGAACACCTACTTTCCTTCTGGGAGTTGGGGGTTCTGGTAGGTACGAGGCAGAAGTTGTCTACATGACTGACCCCCGAATAGAAACCTTGGGCCCTGAGTCTCAAATGAATCGCACTGGCAGACATTTTGACATGTGTTGCCACAACTTGTTGGACGATCTCAGTTTGTCCTGTGCCACTTCACTAAGAGAAGACTTGGAAGCTTACACCTGGTTTCCCTAAATTCCGTCCCATGCATCTTTTCCTTTTCCTGATTTTGCTTTGTGCCCTGTTGATGTAATAAATCATACTACAGGCTGAGTCCTGTCAGTCCTGGAGAATCACTGAACCCGGGGTGGTGTTGGGGACCCCCAGCATGGTATCATACTGAAAAACAAGAAACAAGCTAGCAGTGTGACTTTGGGCAAACTGCTTAGCCTCCGTGGCCTCATTTCCTCATCCGTAAAATGGGATGATGACGGTCCCCACTTCCCAGGGTGGTTGTGACAATGAAATGAGTTAGTACAGTAGAGCGCTCAGGACACTCCCTGGCATGTGGGAAGCACTTGACAAATCACTAGGCCTCATCTTGGTTCCCCTTGCATTATCCCCTGAAAGGCCCGCCCTCCACTGTCATCCAGCGCACCTGGGTCCCATGTCCTTGAGAAAATCTAAAGGGCCTCCTGAATTGTCACGTCGTATGTTCCCATCCCACATCCCTTCAAGAAAGAATATATCTCCCCCATAAATACGTGCAATTATTATTTGTTAATGTAAAAAATTTTGAGAATATATCTAAAGCTGTTCATACTAAATTTTGAGAGTATATCTAAAAGCTGTTCATACTAAAGCTGTTCATATCTAAAAGCTGTTCATACTAAAGCTGCTCATACTAAAGAGTATATCTAAAAGCTGTTCATACTAAAGCAACTTAGTGTGCTACCTCTCCCAGAGACTTCCTTTTTTGAAAAAAAATTCAGGACTGGGTGCAATGGTGCATGCCTGTAATCCCAGTACTTTGGGAGGCTGAGGTGGGAGATTGCTTGAGGCCAAGAGTTCACAAGTAGCCTGGGCAACATAGCAAGACCCTCTCTGTTAAAAAAAAATTTTTTTTTTAATTAGCTAGGCATGGTGGTATGCACCTGTATTCCCAACTACTTGGGAGGCTGAGGTAGAAGGATTGTCTGAACCCAGGAGGTCAAAGCTTCAGAGAGCTAGGGTCACCGCACTGCATTCTAGCCTTGGCAACAGAGCAAGACCCTGTCTCAAAGAAGTAAGTAAATAGAAAATCTAGGAAGGGCAATGCTTAGGCAAAGGAAATCTATGGCTGTAAAATTTGGAACAGAAGTCGGCCAGTGAAAAAAATCATTTGGGGGAGGAAAAGGTTTTCCTAAACAGAGCTCTTTGAAGCACACCATCTATCTCACCATGTCTAAGCCTATTGTATAACTACAGAAATTGAGGGGTTTTTTGCCAGGCTCGGTGGCTCAGCCTGTCATCCCAGCACTTTAGGAGGCCGAGGCGAGTGGATTGCCTGAGCCCGCAGGTTCGAGACCCACTGGGCAACTTGGCGAGACCTCATTACTACAATAAATCAAAAACTAGCCAGGTGTGGTGGGGCACGCCTATAGTTCTGGCTTCTTGGAAGGCTGAGGCGGAAGGATCGCCAGAGCCCAGCAGGTCGAGGTTGCAGTGACTGTAAGCATGCCACTGCACTGCAGTCTGGAAGACAGAGTGAGATTCCAACTCAGAAAAAAAAAAGAAAGAAAGAAATTGGGGGTTTCTAAGGACGATATTTGTGTCAAGTTGGGGCTGGCTCCTAATAGTTGTAGGGGTCTGCTGGAATCACATCACATCCCACCAAGGATCTGGGGAAAAAAACTTATACTGTGGTCTGGGAGGTGCTTAAATGTCCCATTCTCTGCTGATGGCTTGTCAGTTAGGTATGTGGACCAGCAGGTCCCAGGGTGTGCCCAGAGGTGGCACACAGCCAGTTGAGCATAGGGTTCCTCCACGATACTGGCAGCCAACACCAGGGCCAGCAAAAATAGTGTGTTAGCTCAGACAAATCTGTGTCTTCCATGTTGTGGCCTGGGGAAGGGGGTGTCTCAGTGGCCTGACATAGACAGTGTGAATCCCTAGAAACCAGCTGGGAGGCACTTTTGTCCAGTATAATCCTCAGCCAGATATGGTATTGGTTACAGGGAGTGGTTGAGATGGAAGCAAGTGGAAGAATTTTTATTTTTTTTAAAGCACATGAGACAACCTAAAGGTCTACTGAATTGTTCAGTATTCCAAGGTCACAGCTCATCTAGAAAACCCTTGAGTCTGATTTCCTTTTGTTTTGTTTTGTTTTGTTTTTTGGAGTAAGAGTCTCATTCTATCACCCAGGCTGGAGTGCAGTGGCATACTCACAGCCACCACAACCTCAACCTGCTGGGCTTAGGGGATCTTTCTGCCTCAGCCTTCCAAATAGCTGAATTGCAGGCGTGCATTACCACACCCAGCTAATTTTTTAATTTATTGTAGAGATGACCAGATTGCCCAGGCTGATTTCAAGCCCATGGGCTCTGACTATCTTCTCGTCTCTGCCTCTCAAAGTGCTGGGATTACAGGTGTGAGCCACTGCGCCCGGCAAATCTTATTTCTTGAGTAAAGCTGATACCATTTTCTGGATTCCCTGAGGTTCTCCCTCTACAAAGAAAGAGGCACCAGTTTCCCTCCCTCTCCCCCTCTCTCCATGCCCCTGATATCCCTAAACAGAAACCACCAGACCTTTTTGCTTACAGGGTAATGGGAGCAATCACTTGGAGAGACAGACAGATGGAGGAGGAAACAAACAAACAAATAAAAGGTACATAAATAAAAACAGGGGGAGGTTACAAAAGTTCAGCGTTTTATCAAGGCCTCGGTCATAGTCAAGTCAGTTCTCAACCTGTTTTCACATATGTATCTTGGCCTCATAGTGACGAGCTTGGACTCTGAATCCAGACAGACATGGGTGTAAATCCTGCTGCCACCTACTGATGGACAACCCTACGCAAGGGCCCATCCTTCTCATTCTCACTTTCCCGTACTTCCCATAAAATGGAAAAAGGTCAATGACCTATATCACTGAGTTATTGAAGGATCCGATGAGATAATCTAAGCAAGAACACTTAGCCTGGCCAATATTCAGTAAATTTTATCTGGCGCGATTATCAGTAGTCTACCTGTAGATTGATTCTAGAATAGGGGTCAGCAGACAACAGTCCATTCCCTGTTTTTACATAACCCACGATCTCAGGGTGATTTTTACTGACGAACATTTGCGGGTAAGCTGATGCGAGATAGCACCAGCTTTGAATCCCAGTACTTAAGTGAAATACTATTTCCCTCAAAACAGAGTTCTATTCTTCACACTAGTAGAACCGTACTACCAAAAAAGTACTTTATTATTATTATATTTTTAATCTTTTCAATAAATAAGATGTGGAAATTTGTCACTAGGCATGTAGCATGTGCCTGTAGTCCCAGCTATTTGGGAGGCTGAGGCAGGAGGATTGCTTGAACCCAGGAGTTCAAAGCTGTCAGACGCTAAGATCACATCTATGAATAGCCACAGCACTACAGCCTGGGCAACACAGTAAGACACTGTCTCCCCCCCCCAAAAAAGTGAAAATGTGTTTTGTCTCTTATTATAAAAGCACTTCTAGAATATCTTCAGTCTTTCCTATTGGATCATAAAGACTAAAATATTTACTATCTGGCCCTCTACAGAAAAAGTTTGCTGAGTCCTGTTCTAGAACAATTTACTGCTGCAGCCTTCCTATCCTCTGCTGTCATTCTTGACATCAGAACTCACTTCTTTCTTTCCTCACCATAACTATCAGTTGTCCA